AATTCCTGTCGACCAGAAACAACCGCCACAGTAAATCGATATGTGTGCTATGACCTCTCAGTGTGAAACAAGCGGCTAAAGTCACATTTGCTCAGTGACAATGTAGAACCTTCCAGAGCATGAACTACCCAACAGAGGAAAAAACTCACCGCCCCCTTTTATTGCTATAAACTAGAGCCAAAAAAACGGATGCTCTCACAGGATAACGAATTCAAAGACATAAATTTCCACACATCGCACAAGGAGTTGGCGTCGCGTGCAATTCTCACGCGAGAAACTTGAGAATGATTGTAGCTAACTGAAGTGTTAACAGTTTTGACAGCGAATCCAGACGTGACAAAAATGGGCGGAAGAGGGTCGTTAAAGAAATGCAAACAGGCTCTCTCCCCCATTTTTCCCGCCGCCACCGCCCCCTTTCCCAAGTCGTGCGCGTCTTATTTTCGCTTTGCTCGTTTTAATACGTTCCCACTATACTATCTGAGAGCCTGGCACAGGCTAACTGTTAATCTGCAGTCGATTCATCATTTTCTCTTTTTGCTTCGTTTTATGCCACTTGACTCTAATAACAATGTAAAGCATATATTCTGTTACTTCTGTTTTATGGTTTGTTTTGTTTGTCTTTTTTCTTTCCCTTTTTTCTTATGATTTTGGAGCACTTATTCTCGTAATCTATGTGGCAGACGAAGAGGACGCCCTCTAGATGTGTGGCCACCGGACGCTGGTTCTGTTTGCGCAGGTGAAGGCTTCGTTGTTGTAACTCTGCTAAGCTGCATCACGCACTGATGATAGACCTCTTCATTCATTTCTAATTGAAAATCATCTTCAAGATAAGTAATGACACGACTCCTATTTTTCAAATTTAAACCTTTATAAAAACACAACGTAGCTTTGAGAAAACACGGATCGAACCTACAGCAACCTGATTGGTTTTTTGCAAGGAGCCAATCATACCGCACCATTTTCGATCCTCCAAACAAACCAGGGTGGATATATAAACGCTTACTAAATCAAGCAATATACGGAATGGCTCAGACACACCTCAACCATCCCACCACATAGCAACTGATGAGAATCGTAAGATTCGAAACCGCCGGTCTTGCTTGTAAACTTATATTTAACTACACACATTATGTAGTGGCACAAAGACGCCAGTCAATTGATTGGTAAAAAAACAACATGCTAATGGTATTGAAAAACATTGAGCTTTAGAATACTCTCCTCCGATATTAAAACTACAAGTGACATTTACACAGCGATCGAGTTTTAAGACGACATTCAAAGGACACAGCATCATAATGTATTTAAATCATGCTTAGACGTGATAAATACCCAAAACCAGTGTCAGATCTGGATATATTTTTAAAAAGACTACGTGCTGTGTACAGCTAAACATTGTTCTCTGAGATCGCGTAAACCTAAACTTTACGGAGATATCAAAAGCAGATACCCTAAGATTACAGCAGCTATGAAAAAATTATTATATTTTTGAGTAGACATATCTCATAAACGGGCCACAAATTCAACAGGGATACGCGCGAACTGAATAAATTGTCTGTTGAACATTCAAAAGGTTCTGCTTACTCACACAATTTTCCCTTGCTGAACATAAACTGTACCGAGCCGTATCTTTGGTCCGCTATGTAGAAGCGATATCATCGTTCAAATTTTAAACTGTAAGATCCCCTGAAAGAGGTCTCCTCAATGGAGCAATATGTAAAAGGTTTCAAAGGTTTCACGCCGGTGGAGATGTGCGGCCTGTCACCTCTTGCAAGTTTTTACCCTGGTTTTAACGCGTGAACGTTTCCGCTCAACTAGCTTCAACTGAGTTCAAACACAGCCGCGCATTCTTTTTGACGACTTCCAGACAAATGTAAGTGACAGCGCGTCAGTCACAAAAAAATCAAAGGTAAACGACCAAGCGTAACCTCCTGACCGGAAATTAGGTCATGGCCAGGAAAATAATAGAGTTTATTGACTGTTGACAGGTTTACAACAAAAGCCTCCTTCGTAAGACTTTTGTACAAGCTAATTCTAGCTCATTGTCATATCTTCTCATAGCTCTGAACCAAATCTGGGGCTCTAGTTTTAAGAATCTAAAGGTCTCGCGCTCGCACTCAAAACACTTTGAAGTCTCGGTCTCGCAATCTAAAAAGTCAAAATGTCCCGGGCTCGCAAAGAAAAACGCTAGTCTCGCCGTCTCGCAAAGTCTCGCATTTACCATTCGCCACCCCTAACAATAGGTGCGTTTTTGTCAGCAGCTGTTAGGAATAAGTCTTGAAGGCGTTCCAGCTTCCCTCGGGTGTCTCTTCGAGTTCGATGATTTACCAGGGGATGTGCTCTAGCTCTTCAGGGAACAATGCAGGATCGTAATGTTTGTAATCTTTTTTTTACTTAAATGCGAATGAATGTATGTACCGAATATGAATGAATATATTCGTCACTGAGAAATTAGTCGCTGAATGTAAAATTATGCTCATGTTAAGTGGCAAGTTTTTAAATGTGAATGGATATATTCGTGAACAAATTAATGTGAATGAATTTGAAATTAGTGAATTTTGCACCATTTCGCCAATCATAGTGAAATGACTAAGAGCTGCTGATTATTATTGATTTATCTG